TTTTTTTTTTTTTTTTTTGCTAGTTCATCTTTTTCGGCATCCTGTGCATTTTGTCGGAGAGGTACCCGAGTATCTGTCTGGTGAGTCCTCCGCCTTTAGGCCACGTTTCAAACTTTTTAAAATGTATTTATGTATGTTTTTACCTTGTCCTATTCAGCATTATGAGAGCAGAACTGAAATACCGTGCTATGCTGAACAAAATGGCTTTGCCAAGGGAGGCTTTGCTAGTGAGAAGCCCCCATCTATTACCCAAAACTACTTTATTTATTTATATTTGTTACCAAACTTACATGTGTCCAATAATGCCAAACCTGACAGAGGGAAGAGAGAATAGCAGTGAAAAGGAGAGAGATCCTTTAGACAGAAAGAGAAAGGGGAAGAAAAAAAAAAGAAAAATAAAGCAGAAAAAAGAAAGTCGTGAGGAGGGCATTTTTCCCTTAACTCAGCCTAAAAAATGTGTTGGAAAACAGGAAAATATCTTTTTTTTTTAAATAAATCTGTCTAAATAAAAGTAATTGTTGTGGAATTTTTATTTTTAAGTAAGAATCTTAGTCCGTGTGTGAGGAGGTAAGTTTCTTTTTTAGTTAAATTACAAAGTGAAGCGAAAAAAACCCGAATATTTTGAAATACATTGATAAAAATATTTAGAGAAATAACCATGAGAAGCCCTGAAGGCAAAGATTGCTGAAATAACTTATATATAAGGTATATATGTGAAAATATATGTGAAAAAGTGTCACATGTGAATCTGATTTCTTTATATTATTATTTCTTGGCTAATTTGTTTATTTGTATTTTGATTAATTAATTTGTTTTTCTTGCTTTTCACCTTTCTAGATAAATTGTTAATTTTTTCTTTTCTTTTAATAATAAATCTGTCTTTTAGATTACCGTTAATGTTATTTTCCATATTTTATATTGTTTTTTATTTTATTTTAATGGGACTAAGTTGCACTGTTCGTCCTAAATCGAAAACTTCAAAATAAAGTATTCAAAAAAAGAAAAGAAGAATGCTTATTATAATTCTAGTAGCATCATTTGGGCTACAGAGC